CCGACAGCAGGTACAAACTGGCTGCTGCGTCTCGCTGCTCCTCGTCATCTTTCATGACGCTGAGAGAGAGATTAAATGCTGTCGCTATGGCGGCTTACGAGAGTTCAGACTGTGACTCATCGGAGGCGCCAAACAACTGCTCGATGGTGTTGCGACAGCAGAATACTAGTGTCAATCTGAGAGGGTCTAATGGAGGCGTCGTCACCGTCACCTTCGCCGTCCTCCACTCCAATATGGTCCTCGCCGCCGCCCTCTTCTTCTACATTCTCGTCTCCGCCACCATCTACTGCATCTGCCGAATCCTCCTAGTCCTCGACCAGCAAGACCGACTGGAAGGCGTGCTCCCCCACAGCGCGCTCTCCTACCGACATAATTGCGCCCTTTGAACCGGTATACGTCCACTCAGTCTGGATTCCGGTTAGCCGCTTGGACGTCCACCCCGCCACCGTGAGTTGTCGCTATAAGAGCCCGAAGCTAGCGTCATGTGCTACCGCGACATGGGCGGCGGGATTTTTGCGGCGAGTCGACCCCATTCCTGCCAGCCAGCAAATTCTCGGATAAATGGTCTGGACCAGACTTGTATCCATGATGCACCTGACCTGACCCGGTTTTGTGAGCTTGACGCAGAGACCGCTCGCAGCTTATATGTAGCGGATGCTAGGAAAAAACTTGATTGAAGTATGAGAAAATCAAATATGAGCCATTTTCTATTATTATAAATCGCGCAATGTCGTCAGTTACGACATATAAAAAAAGAATGGCGTATCTTACGACGTTCGGAGCCAAGGCGCTAAAGAATGTTCTGACGTGAAGAGAAGGGGGGTCTGACATTAGGTGCGTCTGTTCTGTTTGCATATGTTGGTCGTTTTGAGTGAAAACGAACTGTATATACCGTATTTGAGATCTCCTACTTCAGACCCAATATTTTTGAAGTTGTATTGTTGCAAAATACACAAGATCTGTACACGTACCGACGCATCTCTATCACGTTTTATTTGAACAAAACAATTTAGTTATTAATATCAAGTTCTTCTTCGGGAACTACGAAGTTTTCTATGTCGTGACGCGTATCCACAGCATGGCGCACTACGGGCACTTCTTTCAGCAGCCGTCGTAGCAGCTCCCAATCAGGTTCACTGTCGGAAAGCTCCGTTCCAGCCTCTAAGTTTTCAGTAGGCTCAATGGATACCATTTTTGCTTTCTCAAATCCGCTTCTAACCGTTTTGCGAGACAACGCATTCCACGAATTCTTCGTCCAACCTATTAATTGCTGCCGTGTAGGTGCTTTTATCTTAAACGGAAGCGTCGAAGTTGAAGCGCGTAGTTGTTTCAACATGTTCTCCACCCAATTTTTCCGCATTTTGTCTTTTAATGGCTTGTTCCACGAAATATCAGCCGGCTGGCACGCAAACGTGTTGGTGGAAAGTTACAGTTTAGCATGTTTTTTGTAATCTGAATTAGGAGATCTAGACTTGTGCGCTGTTCCATTCTCGATATGTGATTGGTTGGAGGGCAGTCTAAATTAGGAGATCACTCTGAAGTAGGAGATCTCAAATACGGTACGCGATTCTGTGTGCCAGTGCTGTTTCTGGGCTTGTAGGAAAACATATTTTAAACTGAGAAGGCCGTTACTGATTGGATGGGGGGGGGGGGGGGGTAGTTGCTGGCGCACCCCAATGCATTATTATTTTCATAAATATGAAATTGGAATTGAACTCTCTGTCCTTCCTACAAGTCCATGATATATGACGTTGCGCGCTGATGTGCCAATTGCGAAATGACATTAGTTAGAGACCAGGAACGCTTCCCTATCTACGTGTCTTTGGGGCGGCAGCACTTGTCCTTCCTGTAGTTGATACTGCTCCACTAGTAGTCGCCGCCGCACGCCGCCGGCCACTCCTGGCTGGCGGCGCGTGCCTCGTGCCCACTATCCTCCGTCGTCTTGCCTAGATGCACGCTCCTTCGCTCGCCATTGACCGAGTCTGTTCAGCCTGGTACAGGGATTGGCAATGCCGTCTGATACCGGTGTACCGTACTCCACACTGCCCTCAACACGACTTGAGCCGACTGCTACTGCAGTTCCTGCACCTGGTTGTCCATTGTGTACTTGGACACCAGCGCCGGAACCTCATGCCGGATTGGGTGGGCACGCTCCCAAGCGTTTTCAATGTCTTATAGCCCACGCCATGCCACCAGCAGCTCGAGCTCGCCGGAGGCAGCGTTCACCCGATCATCGACGAGTTCACGGACTTCAAGCACGATCCTTGGAGCGAGACGTGCTCACGGATCTGCGCAGTCACCTCGAGATCCTTATCGGGATAGAACTTTAGCCGTGATTCGTGCACATCATACTCAGCTCCTGTAAGTATATGGCGGATGAGAAACGAATGCGGGAAGACCTTAACCACTTCAAAGGGGCCAATCCAGCGTACCAACAGCTTGCCACCTTGAAGCCACTGGTCAGCTCGCGACCATAACACGTAGTCGCCTTACGAGAAGTTACACACTGTTCCGTTGGAGCGAGCCATGACCGCGGTACGGCGTTGCTCTTGCTGATCTCGGACCATATGATACACGACATGGAGACTACGGCGTAGTTCCTCAACCACCCGGCGAAAAGCCTCCTTCTCCAGCGGTAGTGTCCGAGGCAGCTTGGCACCGGGCAACACCACGACATCCAAAGGCGACGGCGCTGGAAGTCCAGTGAACAGTTCCACCGGAGCGCAGTTGCCCATCGAAAACACCGGACTGTGGTTCAAATTGGCTTGGATGAGAGGTAGGAGGTAGGCCCAGTTGCGACTGTCAAGCTGGATCTCAAGTAGCATGACCCTCAATACTTGCATTATGTCGCGCTTCACCCTCTCCACTGTCCCGTTAATCCACGGTGTGTACACAGGAACAAATGAATGCGATACGCCGAGCCGCTCGGCGAGTTCCTCCATCACCAGGCACTTGAAGTGTGTGCCGTTGTCTGACATCCACATCGATGGGATGCAAACCGCTTGTGCCAGTCCAGAACGGCCGCCACATCCGTCTGGCGATTGGCTGAGCCGGCAGCAACGAGCTCACAGAAGTGGGTCGACTCGTCATTTAGGACAAGGACGTACTTGGCCTCACCATAGCTTTCGCTGAGGTACAAGTAGTCCATGTGCATGCACTCGTTGCGTGAGGCAACTGGTGTGTCGACTGTCCAGTCGTGTTGGATGAGAGCACCGCCTTTATCATGCTTGCACAGCATGCACTCGTTGATGAAACGGGTCACCACCTGCCGGGTCCATGACAGCGTGAAGTGCCGATCCAGTAGCTCCATCATTACGTAAGTACCGCGGTGGCCCTACACACCGCAGTGGGCAATCACGAGCAGGCGCTTCAAAAGCGTTTTAGCCTTTGACGGCACCCACAGCTTGCCGTCCGCGGTAAGTGCGTCGTCGTCCATCACAGCACCCGGTGGCGCATCCTGCTTGCACGAACGCTGTGCCGTAGCAATCTCGTCCCGAGTAGGCCACATGAACGCTCCGTTCTGAAGTGGACGAAGCTCCGACAAAGTCTGTGCTGATCTGGTAGTCATGCGCTTGACTGCCACCGCCATATCCGTAGATTCTGCTGGAGGCTGCCCCCAACGGGACACGATATCTGCCCATAGGTTGTTCTCACCGGCGATATGGTGGATAACATAGCGGCAACGCACCAGGGTCAGCGCCCACCGTTACAGCTTTCATTTCACACGTTGCTTCACCTCGTGGTTTGGAGAGAAAAGCTTGATCATGTTCGAGTGATCACAGTAGACGTGAAAGCCTTTCTCCTGAGCCAACATGTAGTCATAAAATGCTACAAGATCGCTACAAGCCTTGACGATTGGAATGCCTTCTTTCTCCACGATAGACCAATTTCGTTGCGCCCCCTTGAAAGCCCACCACGGCAGACAAGCAGCTCTTGCTGCTGTTTTTCCAGAGGTACACCATCTTGCCAACAGCGCACCTGCGTTCGCGTGGCCTGTCCGCGATGCGTCTATGAACTAAAAGACTGTGGCAGCTCTGTCCGGGAACGAGTGTTTGCAAGAACGCTCCACCATTGCGAGCGTCTTCCGATAGGCTGTTGCCTCCTCTTCATTCCGGTCCAGGCTGGTGCCACTAAGCTGCGCCTTGCGGCGTTCGCGGACACGCATCACTTGTTTCAGCTTCTCGTGCAGTGGTGCAGTAGTAGTCCACCGTCAAACCCCTCTGCCAATTGAGAGCGCAGAGGGAATGCTGCAGCGCAGCTTCAGTAGGTGGCACTGGCTTCTGGTGTAAGCAGCAAGTCGCGCGGGGCATGGGCGACACCTTCACCATCAATAAGCTTCCCGCACCACTTTACACGCTTGGCAAAGAGCTTGTACTTCTTGGCGCTGAGCTTCAGCTTGCGTTGCCTCAGGATTGAGAAAAAGCGCATGTGATTCTCCAGGAATTATCCAGCTGATCGTGCGTAGAGTCGCACGTCGTTAATCCAGACCAATACGCTACGAAACAGTAAGTCGTTCAGGATATCGTTCATTTGCGCCTGGAAGTGGACTGCTGGGTCAGTGGCGCGCTGGGGCACGCGTGTTGGAGTGAAGAATCCATCCTCTGTGACGAAGGTGAAGACCCCCTGGCTGTTGGGATGCAGGGGCATTTGCCAAAAGCCCTTGTAAAATCGAATACTCCAAAGCCGTAGGCACCTCGCACGGATCCCACTGCCACCGCTAGGTTGGGCGAAGCACCGGCCAGGGGTACCGTCTTGCGATTCACGGGTCGGTAGTCGATCGTGATCCGAAACTCACCCGGGCTACCCTTCGCTACGGGTAGCGCGGGACACGACCATCGACTCTTGTTGTTCCTCACCACCAGTCCTGCACCCTCAAGCTCACGAACTTACTCCCGTAGAAACCGTCGCTGGGCCTCCTGGTAGCGTCGGACACCACTACGATATGGCTAAGTTCCAGGCTCTAGCTGTGCCTCCAGCGGCTCGACATCGGCCGGCTCGTCATGGCCAAGACGGAGCTTGAAAATGCCAGCGTAGTCGACCACAACCCTCCGAAGCTAATTAGCGTGTCCGCGTCAAAACTAGCCTCAACGGCCTCATCAACAAGGCGGTGCAACACCGGCTCCACCTCGGCGTCCGCTTCGGTCCCTAGCACTCACGTAGTCACTCGGGCCATCATCAGCTTCAGCTTCGGCAGCGTCAATATGCTGCTGGGCGAGTTGCTCAAACATGTCGTCGAGGTCAACACCAATCGACTGCAGCGTCGTCCTTCCCAGGAGAAGCTCCTCTTCGGGCGCATCTAGCACAATGCACTCGATGTTCGTCAAAGCCAGCGGCCCTGCTGGTCGTGATCTGAAGGTCGATGTGCACCTTCGCATGGCATAGCGTCATGCTGCCACCCCCACCGGCCACAACCACCCTAACCGGAGGGTCCACGTGCTCAACAGGCAGATTTGTCACCAGGTCGCGGAGTTCATCCAGCACAGGTCTGCCAATGATGTTCGCATCCGACCCCGTGTCGGGGCAGAAAGGTACATCCAGCACACCATTGATAACGGCGGTCCGAATTGTCGGTCCGTCATCGGCGGTAACGCGTTTAACACGCTCAGGGTGACGGTCACGTTTCTCATGTAACATCCTCGCCACTACTGGTCCGCAGTCCCCGTTGGGCAGTCACGCGCCCCGTGGGCTTCCTTGCAAATCTAACACCCATCGCGGGGTGGCTTGCGCTGATCTCCAGTACCGCATGTCGCGGCGCGACCTCCTCCCGGAGCGTTCGACGGTCGCTAGTGCTGCTTCGGCTGACGCTGCGAGCCCTTCACAGTCGTTACCTGAACTACCTTGGGGCGGGGTCCATCGGTCTGCTTCATCTCTGCTTGCATGAGATAGTTTTGCTGTTGCCGAGTCGCTCGCTCAATCATCAGATCATGCAACACCAAGTCATTGACCTTCGCCTTGCGGTGAGTCATCGCGACCAGCCTGGTCAAGTCAACTTCCAGCATTTCAGGTGTGACGCTGCATAGCAACATCTTACACCGTAGTTTCATTCACTAATGACCCTGCTCGTCGACAGCTACACCCCGACCGAGCATCCCAGCGAGGCCGTTGTCCTCGACCAACTTGTCGAACTTGATGAAGTAGGAGGCGACCCGTGCCTTGACGTCTACCTCCGACAGGTCCATCTTTAACTCTTTGGCGAAGAGATGCTTGATGGCGGGGACCCGGTCATTCATCATCGAGCCAGCCTTCCTTTTAATCTCGGCCACCAGCATGTCGTCCGATACGTTGGCGGCATCCGTCTTCAGGATGTAGTGTGCTACGTGCTCAAGAACCCTAAGCTCAAGCGTCGAGCGGATGCTTCGCGACACGGCTGCTTGGACTTCGCTCGTAACACGACACTGCTCGATAACCTTCCCCCGGTACTGCTTCCTCTCTCAAAGGAAAGGCGTGGTGGCTGACTGGCTCCAGATCTTGAGACTTGGAGCCCTCGTCGCCTCGAAGGTGGGCTGCGGCACCGCCATCTTGACGTCGCCTTCTGCGTCGTACTCGTAGTCGTCCTTCATGCCCGGCATTCCGATGCGATGCTTGTTGTCAAAACATTCTTTATGACCTTGCGCGCTGATGTGCAAATTGCGAAGTGAGATTAGTTAGAGACCAGGAAAGCTTCCCTATCTACGTGTATCTGGGGCGGCAGCACTTGTCCTTCCTGTAGTTGCTCTTGTTCCACTAGTTGTCGCCGCCGCACGCCGCCGACTACTCCTGGCTGCCGGCGCGTGCCTCATGCCCACTATCCTCCGTCGTCTTCCCTAGATGTCCTCAGGGCACGCTCCTTCGCTCGCCATTGACCGAGCCTGTCCAGGCTGGTAGGAGCGGTGCGGCAATGTCGTCTGATACCGGTGTACCGTACTCCACATGATGGTATCTTTAACGATGTTTGGCCCCTCCACCTCTCCAGTGAAGCTTTGCTGCGTTGTAAAACCTGAGAAGCCGCCAATATGGCACCAACGAGAGAGTGCCGTGTAGCCTAAGCTGATTTGGCGGAGCATGTACCTTGCAGGAAATGTTTTCCGTATGAAGTAGGTCATGCGAATTGCGTGATGCGACTTGCTTCAGTATATTTTCGCTGCACATACCATCGTTACTAGTATCAGCAGTTTATTTATGTGCTAAGCGCGGGTAAGGAACGAGGCCGAACGCCGTTTTTTGTTGTTGTTGGAAAGTGTCCGTAAGCTATGTCGTTGCTTAAATTCAATGACTACTACTAATACCTCCGCCCGGAAAATAACGCACACTTCAATGTTTCTTCATTCAACAGATTTAGGTATGGAAATGAAATGTGACCTTGATGGGTCAGCTTTGGATTGATAACGTCACGTGTAATTTATAAAAGGTTCTTTTCACTCGGAAACATATAGAATCATAGTGCTTTCATATACTGGTGTAAAGAATTAATCTGTGCAAACCGTACACTGGGCTCGTGAAGGAGCACGTTTGATATGTTTTCAATCACGCAAATACATTCAAGGGCTTAAGCACACAACCGAATATACATGGAGCGTACAGAGGTTTAAATGAAAATTTTCATCAAATGTAAGTTAATACTTGATCTTGTCAGCAGCTACGATGATTCCATGTACATACAATGATAAAACGACTACAACATTCTCTGCTTTATTTTTACAATTTAAAGTAAAAACATCGAAGCATCACGTTTTATTTTTCCTATTACTGAATATTGACATCACTCGTTTGGATCGTCTTAACAAATATATTAAAGCACCAGCTGTTTAATGTTAGCTGTGTCGCACTCGTCACAGCTTTAAATGCTGCACAAAGAAATCACGTCGCAAATGCTCTAGTATTCGAAACTCAGCAGCGCCTGTCCATATAGGCCTTGATCACCTATATTTTTTTACTTATGTTTAGATAGAATAAAGAATGGATTTGAACTGTAGTATTTTTTTCGTGTAATTTCTTATGCGTGGCAGCCAAATAGCTTGGTGAACGGCTCAAAATCCGGAAACGAAAAAAAAAATTCTGAGCAGGAATATACGTCACTTTCATGACAGTGCATTGGGGATAACGGGCTGTAGATTGTTAAGGGTTTATTTCGAGTTTCATCCTTGTGTACTATTCAGTAAATAACGGCAGTATCAGGGTGACTGTAAATGTCAAATGTTGATTCGCTGTCCGTCCATTCATCAATAGATCTCCGGTACCATTATCGATAGAATTGTTGTCCAACCGAGCTTTAAGAGCGCGATACCTACTGTAGCAGTCAAATGTGTTCATAGATAAACGAGCCTTCCATTTTTTTTACGCGTTGGACTCGTTGATTTTCATGCGTCTGAGGTCACGAAGATACTCCTCTGGCACTCCTCTCTTCTCCAGTTTCTGCAGCGTGTCAAGCCTCACCTTCTCAGCTAGAATGCTCTCTCTCATCGCTTTCTTCTGGAGAAACTTGGCGTCGTTCTGCTCAATCATTTTGGCCTTCATTCGTCGCTGTTCGTTCAACTCAATCTGTTGTTGCAACAAGTCGCCGTGGTTATGATCACGTTCCTTTGCGGCGGCTTCAACTGCCTTGAGACGTTGGTACTCGCGCTCAACCTTCTGCTGTCCGATCCGATCCGTATTGGCGTCTAGAGCTCGCATTCGCTGAGCGTGTTCCACATGGAAAGCCTCTTGCTTCTTGCGATCCTGCAAGATCGACTGCATCAGTGCGATTTTCCTCTCCTTGTCGCGTTTCTCCCTCAGTCGCGTGTTCTTTTCCGTCTCCTCGTACGCTTTCTTGGCTCGGAATTCGTCCTGAATCGCTTGTTTATCTTGTGCCTTTTCTTGTTGGGCACGCAGTTTGGCAGTGCGCAACTCTTTCGACTTGCGGATACGAGCCTCTTCTTGCAGTTTGGCCTCCTCCTCGAGCGCTTTCTTGCGCAGATACGCGGCCGCAGCCATTTCCTCCTTCTTGTTTCGAATTGCCATCTGCTCCTTCATGGATTTAATCTGCTCGTTCGTCTGAGCCACTTGACGCATCGTCTCCTTCTGTTTCTCAAGATGTTGTTCGTACTTTCTCTGCCCCTCCACCTCATATTGTTTGTAGATCTTGAGAATCTTTTGGGCTTCAATGTCCTTCGCCTCTTCTTCGCGAATGGACTGTTTATGACGCTCAGTGATCTGCTCCTCAAGTACCTGACGCGCCTCCATCCGCTTCGCGTGTGCTTCGACGTCGGCATCTTTACGCTTTTGAATGTCGCGACGGCGATCACGTTCCATGAGACTGTCGTGGATGTTGTTATAGCGAGTTTCAGTCACTTTTCGCCCCTTCTGATGCTCCTTTAACCCGTCGCACAGCTGATATCCCGTGGCAGCTATGGCCAAGGAATTAATCTTACGTAACGACTCGAGGTGCTGATTGTTGATCATCTCATTGCCAGTGAGCAGAGCCTTGCGCTCCGCCTCCAGCTCCATCTCCATGGCTGATTGCTCGCGTCTTGCACGCACTTCGATCTCCTTCTCCATCATACGACGCTTGCGTTCCTCAGACTCGTGTCTCGAAACTGCCTGCTGCGCCTCCCGGGCCAGCTTAAGCTGCTGGGCTGCTGCATCTGTCAGGATTATCGAGCGCTGTTTGATCCGATTGAGCTCACTCTTGGATACAACGCGCGAGATACCGGCAATGTCCTTTCCAGCCAATCGAGTCGCCGATGATCGCTGCTGTGTGGGTGGTGTCTTGACAGTCATGGCGACGTACTAGATCGGCTTGAGATCACCGCCTCTTTGCTCTAAACCGGGAGTGAAAATGGCTTCCGAAATAAAACATGGCTACATGTGTCTTCCATCGCAAATATTTATCTAGCACAGTACTTTTCATACAAAAATAACTTCAAATAAAACATTGCATATATATTTATGAAATGCTGTGTTTTTCGACTCTACCGTATTTTTCCGATCTCGGAGAACAGTAACTTTACAATAAAAGCTTGGTATTGTAGAAAGTCTTGTAGTGGTCTCCAAATCGAGGTTTGAGTTCACCTGTTATCATTCTTAATCGAGGGGCTTTATTCTCTCGCAATGACCCTTTTTGAAAGTCTATCAGGATAAAAAACGATTGTGACGATACTTAGAGCTTTGCTTCTTTGACTTGCTTGAGCAAGCATTATCCATCAGTAGCCGTGTCGTGGGTGCTTGTCTCTCGCTTTGCCAAGCTTTGGCATCTTAAAATTCTATAGCTGCCTCTCTTCATAAACATTTTTTTGCTTCCTTTATTCCTTCTCATTGTTTTCTTGTCTAATTAAGTAATCGTTTAAGCTATGTTTCTTTGGATGCTAACTTTTGAGTGCAGAGTTTGTCAAGGGACCGCACTCGACCTAAATTACTTTTTAGGTTTTTCCTTTGTAAAAACTCGCGGTGAGAGAACATTGCTTCTTCAGTCTTCTTTTATTTGGAAAACGAGTTATTTCCTGTTTCATTCTTAAATCACAGAAAAAAGTGGTTGATTTTCTCTTTGAACAAATTCGTGCGTACCCATGCGTAAATGAGTGCACCACGGTCTTGATAGTACTTCAAGTAACAGTCGACGGCCGATAGTGGCAAGAAAATTAATCTCGCCATTTCCTAAGCATTTTTTTCTGTTCGCACACTAGATGTACACTGTTGTCCCTCTGTACAGTACTCGTACTGTGCTTTCAGCCAGGGCTCAGAAAAATAAATATAATATAACCATTGTAGTATTGTAATGACAGAAAAACGGATTATTAGAAAAGATAGCTTTCCGCCGGTTTTTTATAGGTAAGGCAGCAACAAGCTACTGGTCGAGCCACATGTGACTGGATCATACGAGAGCAAGCAAATACATCTACTACTCTATTGGGATAAAGCAACCCTGCGAGGAACTGAGTAGATAACATCTCCAGAACCTGATAAACGTTTTATATTAAATATAACATATTTCGGGTCGATATACTTCCTGTAAGAAAACCCATATCACTGTCTTGTGCCTTTGCCGGTTGGCGTTGGACCCTAGCCAGAACTATAAGGATAGTCTAGAATATGACTCGAGAAGACTATCGACGTGTTATTCTCGGGTGTGCTACATGTAAATCTGACTCTACTGTCAAATTGGAGCTCACGGTTGAAGAGAGGCTTACTCTGGTGAAGTAATCGGAGACCTCGTGAGTGGCTTCCGTCGCGAGAGACAACGACACTGACCGGAAAACTGTTCGTCTGTAGAGGAATGAAAAGGCCGATCTCCAGCAAGTGAACGGTGATCTCTAAGTTGGGGGACATGCCGATTGACCACTAAACATGACCCGTTTTTAGTTACCCCTACCTATATAGAAACAAGCCGAGCGGAGCCCCGCAAGTGCTGTCTGATTCAAGACACATGTGACGTTTAAACAGTTTATACAGTTTTTATACCGGTAAAAACTGTGTTTACGTGGTGCGATGCGTAATTACCCTTCATTTTGTTAACTTGATTTAATTCAAGAAGCAAGAATGCTCATCCTCTCAATGGGTCTTCTATTCGGCATCTTACAGTGTAAAGAGCTCTTTGGGTACACTGTACCGTGTCTAATGCACCGTTTAAACACCTTTCGTACTTTAGACAGTCTTTTGAGGTGTTTATACGCGTCTTTATGAACAACACCGACTTGCCGGCGGCAGTGCCGCTCAAGCCCCGCCAAAGAGTCTTTGGGCAAGTTGAGGCTGAGGTGAAGTGTGAGGCTCGGCGGGTTAGCCAAAATTAATCAGGCCGTAATCAAAGATATGTTGATGCGCACATCGCTACGCACGCCATCTGTGTGTGTGTGTTTTAAAGCACCCACAAATAGTGAGGGCTTTGCACTGAAATGACATCGTCGCTAAGTAGCTGAAATCAATATTAGCCAATGGGTAGTCCGGAAAGACATGACATTTGGGGGGGGTACTAATATGAGCTTCTCCATAGTAAAACTCGGGGAGATGGACCTAGAATTATATTAATGATGATGATAAAAGAAACGAACCATAAACATCTGTGCGCATCAACATATCAATAATTACGGCCGCTTCAATAGTACCATTTCCAGTATGATATCGATCGGTACTGTCCAATTTTTTAAAGCGCTACGCACAGCCATCTGTGTGTTAAAGCAGCACAGCCCTCTAATAGTAAGGGTTTTGCACAGAAGTGACATTAGAGAGGTTGTGCTGCTGTCATATAACAGTGAGTTTGCCTTGTGAGCTGCTATGACTTAGGGGTAGGAGATTCACTGTCAAAACTGGTGAAGACAAAGCACAGTGATGCCTTGCTCACTGTACACGCAAATTACAGACCATTCACTGGCTCACGGACAGTAGCAGAAGCAAAAACGCCTTGATCTGACGCAGCGCTATGGAAGCAGGAGCAAGCACCCTCACTGACGAAGCTCTAGAAGCAACAGATAAAGATTGCGCTCCTGGGGGGGGGGGGACGTCGCGGACTCCGATACAGCTGACTGAGCTCCTGGCGACGCGGCTGATGACTCCGCGCAGAAAAAGAGAAAGAAGTCCTTTCGCTTCCTTCCCTCCAGCGACGTCATTCTGTTAAAGGTGGTGATCAAGCACACGCCATGGGCTGCTGGGCACGGCAAAACAGAGGCAGCATGGGGCAAGGTCGCCAGTGGGATGAAAGCAGCTCTACCACTGTGCACTGCCGACGGCAAAGCGTGTCGTCGTCGCTTTTACACGCTCGTGGAAGTATTCAAGCGAGAGGAGTTGGAGTCGTTAAGGGCACCAGGTACAACAGAAGACTACGAAGAACGAGAGCAGCTACTTACAGACTGTTTTGAACTGGTACGATGTAATTTTGTATTTCTTAATCTGCGTAAAGCTAAGTCATTCTCTTTCTTATATGTAGACAGAGGGACATGCACAACAAAAGGCAGACAAAACTGAAAAAGAAAAACGATGCTGAGCGCCGTGAAGCTGCGTCTGCTGACATAGTTCGTAGCGCCATGCAAGGCATGCGTAACAAACGATCTCTCAGCTCAGACACGGAGTTAGCTACACCACCTTCAACCAAAAAGAAAAAGCGGTCAAGTACGGATGCATTGCTAGGTTTCCTCGAGGACCGCGCTTTATCGCGCAACAATAGACACTCGCTGAAAGAGCGACAGCTACAAATTGACGAACGACGACTCGCGCTTGAAGAGCAGCGGCAACAACAAGACAAGGCCAAAACAGACAGAATGCTAGCGATGATGTCATCGCAGATGGGTCTTGTGGTTCAGTTGATAGAAAAAAATGTCCAAATAAAAAGTTGAGCTGCTTATTGAAGTCCTAAGTACTGTTCAACTGTTGGTGGTGTCATTGCAAAGAATGAAGAGGTCAGTAGAGCTTTTGTTTTTTTGCAAAATCAACGAACGCCCAGTAGCGAATAATTTACCAAAGCCCCATTCAACGCTTACTCGAACCGAGCTCATGCGCGCGTTAAATTCTTGTTCGTCTGCCGATAACTGTGCGCCTTTAAAGGGTGATTTACGTGCTCTTGTCTACCGTAAGCAGGATCGCCATAGAAAACAAAATGTTTTATATCAGCACGAAGAGATTCAGCGGCCACCTCAAGCAATTTACTCTCATGAAGTATAAAAGCGTCGTGGCGCGTGCCAGCATAAGGTCCGCTTAGATGAATTATGATGCCATCAGGAGCTATCACGGACTGATATTTTAGTGCGTGTTTTCTCTACGACAACAAACGAGGTTTAGTTCCAAAGCTAAACATTCACATCTAGAGAGTCTCTGACCTTGTGTCCGCTGTACATGTAGCGCTGATTACGTGTGGGACGACAGGTTCCTCGTACTATGCCATCTATAAACCCGATGCAAGTTTGTAGAGGGGCTCCTTTAGCATGCACGGCCTCGGCGTACGTGGCTTCTTGAAGTTCGTGGACGGCTCTTCCGCGAAACAAATCTTCGCATTGTGCTTGTACTTCTTCTTGAGCAAAGTAAACATACTTGCAGTCAACTTCGCGTAGGATGAGCATAATCGTTGGACGTATCCCCGTATCCCGCTAAGCCGAGAGAGCTGTAAAGCTCCTCTTGCGTTCTTGGGGTCGACCAGTCCTCGATGGCCTTTATTTAATCTGAATACATTCGTACGGCTTTCTTCTAGCGAAATTTCTACGACATGGAATCTCGTCGACACAGTAGAAGCCCTCGGACAGCTCCACGTATCACTTGTTGTCTCGCAAGATGTCCAATGTTTTGTGGAGAGCTTCCAAATGATCTTCAACCTTCTGCGACTTCGTGAAGATGTAGATGTCAACGTAGAGCGACTTCGTGCTCCCCAGATCGCGAATACGTGTTGTCGTCAATTGATACATCACCACCCGCGCGTTGCAGACACCTATATGCAGCACCAGGTACCAGAGCCCGTTAAGCGCCTGGATACCTGTGAACTTACTATTCTTTAGCGCGCATACAAACTTGATAATACGTCGACATCAAGGCCATTGTCAAGAACCAGTGCCCTCCTGCCGCCGCGTCCAAGATGTCTTCTCTCCTCCTCATCTGGATGATTTGCCGGATCGTGTTGGTGTTCAGGTACCTGTAATCATGAACGACCCGCCATCCAACTGGTTTCCGGACGCAGAAGATAATACGGCATGTGGGCTGGTGCTATGTCGAATACGTTTCTTCTTTATCATGCCTTCAGCCCAGATCACAATCTCGCATTGTTGCTTAGGTGGCTGCCGCCGCTGTTGCCGATACATCGCAAGATT